GATAGATAGATAGATAGATAGATAGATAGATAGATAGATAGATAGATAGATAGATAGATAGATAGATAGATAGATAGATAGATAGATAGATAACAGGGGCTGATTGGTTGTTGGGCCAATTTGATGAGAACTTTCAGACTTTGACAGGTTTCAGGGTTGGGAGAAGGGAGTGAATAAGGCCAAGGTCAGTTGAAACTTTGCAGACAGTTGTTGAAAAGAGGAAGTAAGTGGTGAAGGGGTGGGGTGACAGTTTGATGGAAAGGGGAAGTGGGAAGGGGGCGGACCGGATGCCCCGCCTCAGCTGTCAATAAGAACCGGAAGTCCCGCCCAAAAGGGGCGGGGCACCTGTCAGTTTTCGTGTGACATCATTTGATGATTGCTGACTTATTTATTCTCTCACAGCACTAGGCAACCACTATCACCATGGCTTTCAAGCAAAGAAAATATGTTGTACTGGCAGATCTAGGATTTTTCTGAGTAAAGGGCCATCAAGGGGCCACAAATTTTGACTCAATCTGTTTCTTCCATATGTCCTCAGGCACTAAAAAAAATCTTGTTTACATGTCCCTTTTTAGATTCACTGATTTGAAACTCAAATTGACATTAGAATGTAATGTGTTTGATTATTTTCTTACTTTGAAAATCTTTGTATAAGTGGTGTGACACTCACTGGATTGGGTGGTTCTGGCTTCAACAGGTTGAGTAAAGACTCCCAAACCCTTCTCAGATCGAGCCGCCAGGGAAAATAAGTATTGGGTATCTGGCTTTAGACCTTCAACTGCATAGGAGCCTGCTGCACTGAAAGTGACACGATGCTGTGAAGAGATGTGAACAAAAGTACTTATATTATACCCTAAAATGCGAAATTTGCAATAAGTGTTGAGAAAACTTTCAGTTTCTTCCCATTACTGTGGAATATCAGAGAAAATAGACAGTTTAAATCTAAAGGAGCTTTCAAGTGCTAAACTGAATTAAACAAAACACAATTGAAGGGCCTTAAAAGCGTGCATTAATAAAAATACACTGATGTTTTAAGATCCATAGGCACATAGTGGTATAGAATTTTTCTAGACACTCTTTCAAATTTTGTAGCCTTGAAAAAATATTTGTATTGCTTATTCTGAAGTTAAATAATTTTTTTCCATTTTTCTTATTTGTCTTTCATTGGCTTGTTAAGGGTAGGTTAAAAATAAACAATGTTATGTAAAAATGTAGAAGTTTAATATTATATAATGTAGAACTCTTTGTTTTTGAGTTATTTTCTAAGCCTGAAAACCAATATAAAGACCCACCAGACTGAAAAACACTTTCTTATTAAATGCAATCAGATTGATTATTACAATAATGATAAATCCTTTGTTGTACACTATTTTTAAATATTCAATCATTTTCCATTTTAAAGACCCAGAAAGGTGTAGTTTTAATCCAGGAACAAGACAAAAGTAAAAAATAAATATTCTTAGTGTTGTTGACAGAACATCCCTTCAAAAACTCAGACTGTCTCATTATATAAAAGAAAAAAATATTTGTGTTGTATTTACCTTGTCTGCAGCTTTGTTGGCCTCCCAGTACAGCAGTTCATAACTAATGATGGGGTCCTGGACAGGCCACAGCCAGGACAACATTATACGTGTGTCCAGTTCTGCTTCAGCCTCAAACTCGGAAGGCTGACCTGGAACTAAAGACACAAAGAAGAAACTGAAACTGAAGTATCAGAACATTCAGGAGGAGAATTATGTTATTTTCTAAATCAGTTGGACATGTTAGAACAGACACCAGCAATGTAATGGACAAAGGTCTAGCATTCCTCATCAGCTTTACAAATAGCAATATTAAAATTGGTGCAGATGTAGTTGAGATGGATCCACAAATTAACTGTCCATCCATCCATCCATCCATCCATCCATCCATCCATCCATCCATCCATCCATCCATCCATCCATCATCTCCCACTATATCCGAAGACAGGTCACAGGGACAGAAACTTGAGCAGGGAAGCCCAGACCTCTCTTTCCCCAGCCACCTCTTCCAGCTCTTCTGGGAGGACTCCAAGGCGTTCCCAGGCCAGCTGAGAGACATAGTCTCTCCAGCGTGTCCTGGGTCTTCCGCGGGGTCTCCTCCAAGTTGGACATGCCTGAAGCACCTCCATCCAGGTGGCATCCTTACTACATGCCCAAACCACCTCAACTGGCTCCTCTCGACGTGGAAAACTGGAGGCCAAATTAATGCCATCCAGAGAAGGTGAAAGGCTGGAAAGTTGATCCCTAAGATGTTCAGGTCCAAAAACCGTAACCTCTGTCTTATCTGAGTTTAGAAGCAGAAAGTTAATTTTCATCCATGTTTTTATGTCTGTAAGACATGCTTGTAGTTTAAGTAACTGGTTGGATTCATCAGGTTTCGTGGATAAATATAACTGAGTATCATCAGCTTAACAATGGAACTTTATCCCATGCTGTTTAATAACTTTACCTAATGGAAGCATAAATAAAATAAAGATGACTGGTCCAAGCACTGAACCCTGTGGAACTCCATGACTGACTCTGGTATAAGAAGAAGATTCATTAACATTAACAAACTGAACTCTATCAGTTAAATAAGACTCAAACCATTTTAGAGCTGTTCCTGTAATCCCAATATCAAGTTCAAGTCTACATAATAAAATATTGTGATCAATTGTATCAAATGCAGCACTGAGATCTAACAGGACAAGAATGGACACACGTTCTCTGTCTGAGGCCATGAGAATATCATTACTAAGCAACTTTCACCAGTGCTGTTTCTGTGCTATGATGAGCTCTAAACCCTGACTGAAACTCTTCATTTAGATTATTTCTATCCAGGTGTTCACGTAGCTTATTTGCAACTAATTTCTGAAGAATTTTTGAGATGAATGGGAGATTAGATATACGTAGGTCTATAGTTGGCCAGAACTCCTGAATTCAGATCAGCTTTCTTAAGTAAAGGTTTAATTACAGCAACCTTAAAGCTCTGTGGCACATAACCATTTATTAAAGATAAATTAAGTAAATCTAAAATTTAGATATTAATTAAGGGAAATGTTTCTTTGAACAGTCTGGTTGGGATAGGATCTAGTAGTCATGTTGATGGTTTGGATGAAGCTATTATTTTAGATAATTCAGACAGCTCAATAGGACAAAAACTGTCCAGACCAGTGACACTAAAGCTGACTCATCTGACAGCGAATCAGAGACAGTAGTACAGGAAGTTTGGCATGAATTTTATTCCTTATTAAAATTATTCTATCTATAAAGAATCTCATGAAGTCATCATCACTACATAGAGTTATAGGAATACATGGCTCAACAGAGATAGGACTTTTCATTAGTCTAGCTGAACAGAAACCTAGGATTGTTTTTATTCTTATATTAAAGGAGACATATCATGCTAAATGCACATTTTTTGCATTTATAAACTATTTTTTGTGCAATTATAGTGTCTAGGAGTGTAAAAAACTTTAATTTATTCTGTCCAGTTACTGCAAAGATATTTTTATATTTTTTTTATGGGTCAAATTTTTCAGTTTGTTCAAAATCTGCTGTTGCTTATTTCGTTTCATTGTTTATTTCGTCACACTTTTTTCTTCGGAACTACCATTTATGGTAATGTATTTCCGGCCAACTGGATTTCATTATCCGCCATTTTTTTCCTCGCTGTGTGATTTTGTAGTTCATAGCGTCATGCCGAATATGCAAGTTCAGAAGTCAAAATGTTCGGTTCTGGGGTGTGTAAACCCACATTATTATCTACATAGACTACCAGCGTCAGAGCTTCTTCAAAGTGCTTGGTTAAGTTTTATTTAGGAAACTTGGGAGGAAGAAAAAGTAGTACTGGCTTCAAGAATCAGCCAAAAAATATCTGCTGCAGTGTTGTTTTAGTCACTCTGTGTTTATGGTTTTTTTTTTTTTTTCATTATTCAAAATACTGTGTGTTAGATGAGTTATAATGGTGCAACTTCAAACTAACATGTAATATTCTTTTATGCTATTTTAACCAGACTGTACATGGCTGCAATGCATTTCAATGAAAATGCACGTCTGCAGGCAWCTACCTCATCTGGAGAGCTCCCATGTAGATTATTCTTTCCCAAGTTCAAGAAGGGAGAAGGCACAGCGAAGCCTATCAGAACTCCTGGAACCCTAAGTAAGTCTTACCACATTAGTCACTTTTASTATGTCAACTTGATTTCAATAAATCAAAATCATCCATACTTTAATTATATCTCCCTTATTCAAAGTCGTGTCACAAGGGCATGTGATGTGTGAAAGTGTTGAATGAGAAACTTTTCCTCACAATGTTAAACAAAAATTACAAAAACAAGTGATACTTTACTGTTTCTACTATGCAAAGACATGTGTACATTTTAATGTTGTTGATGTTTTCCAGACTGCGCTGTGGATTCATCTCCAGTTGTCCCAGACAAGGCCAGCATCTCCACATCTGGTGCCACATCTTCACTCCACGCCCTGATGCCACATCTTCAAACCACCCTCTGCACCACATCTGAACTCAGTCCACACCCAGTGGGAGGACCCTTCACAACAGGATCACACATACTTCCACACATCTCGCAGAAAGGACTGCAGGAAGAGATAACTCAGTGTGATGAGGTTGCATATTTGCTCATTTTGTTTCATATAAAAATGAGGATTAAGTCGAATTTTGTCAAAAAGACCTAATTACATTTTCAGATTCTTGGCTTTAAAAGCTACATTT